GAAAACCATTTCAGGTGACTACCTCTTGAAGCTCATGGAGAGAATGCCAAGAGTGTGCAAAGCAGTAATCAGAGCAAAGGGTGGCTATTTTGAAGAAACTAGAATATAAAACATGTTTTCAGGTATTTCACCTTTTTTTGTTAAGTACATAACTCCACATGTGTTCATTCATAGTTTTGATGCCTTCAGTGAGAATCTACAATGTAAATAGTCATGAAAATAAAGAAAACGCATTGAATGAGAAGGTGTGTCCAAACTTTTGGCCTGTACTGTATATATATGTATGTATATATGTATATATGTGTGTATATATATACAGCATTTGGCAGGTGGCTGGTGCTAATTTCCAACCCTGTTGAGTCAGTATTAAGACTTTTTCATCCCTCTATCAGTGAATCTCCTGAATTCAGGACACAAGAGGGATGTAAAATGAGGGGCACTGTTGCATGTATTGTACTGCATGATGTCTTCCTTTGAACATAGCGGTTATTGTGTGTTTCTCTTCTCAGACTTGAGAAGATGAGTGATTTAGAGGAAGAGAAGGACAAAGCAGAGTCTGGAGGATCAAGCTCTTTGTCTATGAAGAGTGACTGCTTCTTAATACTGAAGTCTGGAGATTATCCTGGACCATCAGACACACAGTAAGAGACTGTTTCTACTGTAATGCGTAACATAATTGGACATGAGTAGGATTGGTGCCTTTTTATAACTGCAAATTATGTCAGACTTCGTCAACACCTGTTTTTATTCTTCTAGTAGGCAACCAAAAGTTTAATTTGAATTTGCAACATTAATAATTTATGTACACTTGGGCATTAACCCTTTAACACCTAAGCCTCAAAATGTCCACCTGGACTTTTTTGCTTATTTTAACTATAAAAGGGCCTGAAAATGTCCTGTGAGGAAGTGATTTTGCCTGTTTTTCCAGAACACTTTGAACTTTCAATATCTGACAGTTATTTACAATTTACTGCATGTAATAACAGTGTAATAACAGTTTTAAATGAAGAAAAACCAAAAAACGGAATTTGGTTTTAGAGATTTAGTGAGAAAAAAACACTGCAATTGTACATGAACAGATTTTGCATAATAAATTTGATATTATAACAGTATAAAACATATTCACAATTTTTGAGTCTGTCTCTCAATGTGCAAAAACAGACCAAAATGAAAACTATATATAGGTGTTCTTTTTAGAACAGTATAAAACATATTCACAATGAAATTTTTTGAGTCTTTGTCTCTCAATGTGCAAAAACAGACCAAAATGAAAACTATATATAGGTGTTCTTTGTTTCAGTCCAGAGGAACTTCCTCCCTTTTTCCAGGTTTGCTGCTGCATTCTTGTTGGTGTTTTGACACAGGAGTTTGAGAATGGCAGCATCCAAACAGGGTGCTCTACGGCCCTGAGTGTGTCTTCTGCCTCTCCCTCTCCCAGGTCTCTCACTTGAGGATGGCTGCTCCTCACCACAAGACAAACTGAAAGTAGTGGAGAAAAATATTCAGCTTGTTCACACACTATATAGTAAAAACAAGGCATGGTACATTGTTCAAAGATATACATATACATACAATCACCACTTGGTAGCCAACACTACACTAAAAAAGTCACCAAACATAAAATGAATGCGCCATCTTTTGTCATGCGCACATTTACGCATGAAGTAAAAAATACACATACATTGTACAAACTTACTGACTTATAACACTGCTCTAAAGGTGACCACACAATATAAACGTTGATTTACACACACAATAACTTATACAAAGTAAAAACTAGATACTACCAAGCCTCATTCTGGATGAATGAAGCTCTCTCCAGCTACAGAGAGCTTCATTCAACACGGAAATTCAACACGGAAATTCAACAGGTCTAACGTTACCTTTCTTCGCCAGAAATTGCTCCTTCAGCTGCTCCATCTTTCTCCAATCCATCCCTGAACCTCAGTGGTGGTTTTATCACCCGGGAGGACCGTCTTCCAGACATTTCTTTCTTTCTCTCTTGACAAAATCGCTGCTCTGCTCCGTTTCTCCGCTCTGTTGTTGTTCCGCGTATACACTGCGTCTATGTGGGTGGAGCTGAGAACAAAGGGGCGGATTTGCGGTCTTCCTGCAACAGCGCGAATGAAGTTACCGTAATAACCCCATGTTGGCTGTGAAGCGCAACTTCTCAGCTTTCAGAAACCATTTTAATTTTTCCGATAGGACAAACCATCGCGGAATTACGGTAATGCAAAGTGTGCTTGCATAAATGTATCGTCGACGACACACTAGTCGATTTGTCGACGTGTCGACGTCAGTGGCATAAGTCGACACCCCCCGGGAGGAGTCGACAAGTCATGTGTTTTTTCCCCCTCTCTCTCTCTCTCTCCCTGTGCTTGTGTACGGAATGCAATTGCTGCCTCTGACTGGCTTACACTGATACTTTATCCTTGACTAAAGTGAACATACTCGGGCGTACTATAAGCGGAGCAGACTCCGCGAAGAATGTCCGCAGTCATTTGGGCTTTCATAGTCGAGCGCACTTCCACGTTGTAGTTTCCTGTAAAAATGTCCGTGAAAAATCCCCGCGATGTGAAAAATACATGCTGAGCAGTCACTGGTGCGCAGAGCGGAGTCCGCGTGGTCGTAAAATCTGAGCTTTGCGCGCACAGGGCTTGCGGACGTCTGCTTTGAGTCTGCGCGGACCTCCGCAGAGTCCGTTCCGCATGCGTTCCGCCCAAGTATGTACGGGCCTTCAGACACACATCACATGCGCCGTGTCAATGTGATGACGTCATCAAATGACTTGTCGACTCGACTTCGACTTTATTGACAGATAAGTCGACCTGAAAAAAATCAGTCGTTAATGCCCTAATGTATATATACACACAAACGCATTGAATGAGAAGGTGTGTCCAAACTTTTGGCCTGTACTGTATATATATATATATATACACACACACACACACACACACACACATATACAGTATGTGTACATATACAAACTGGTTCACACAGCAATGAAAGTCAAATGAACCCCCCCAAATCTAGCAGCCACTTACATATTTTACCAGCATTTGGCAGGTGGCTGGTGCCAATTTCCAACCCTGCTGAGTCAGTATTAAGACTTTTTCATCCCTCTATCAGTGAATCTCCTAGACTCACAAGTCAGTCTTTAGATGCTTTGCTTAACTAAAGACTGATGACTTTCTCCCTGATTTTGTGTTTAGATGGGCGGATACAATTTCAGAGTTCAAAAAAAACTCCCTACGTTGCAGAACCAATAGTAAATCTGCAGGGCGGTCCTTCGGTGGCTCGCTGAACTCTTGTGCTTGTAAACATAGTCCCACTAGAAACAAGTGTAGCGGTACAAAATGGCTCAGCCGCGCTCGCAGAAAACTCCGCCAAAGTTAGTGGATGTTTGTCGCGTTTGCGGCGACACATTCTCGCCAACTAAAAGAAACAAACATAATCTTTTACAAGGCCATGACTCATCCGTCCGTCCGGACTATAGAGGGAATCGCCTTGTTGTTTACAAATACTTACGGGTAGAAAACCAGCAGAGCTTTTAGCTATGTATATATATATNGACTAATCCGATGTTTGTAAAATCTATAAACACAATGAAACATTACTAACAAACAAACATTACTATTTCTTTATTTCTTAGCCGTTAGCGATGTCTGTAACTCATTAAACGGTCCGTGAAAAAAATATTTTTTCCAGCGGATATCTTAGTTACAACATGGTTGAGCTAGCAAAGCAGTTTTGTGTTGCTATGTGTGGTATTTATTCAATTTTGGGAAATCACAATGTCTAGAAAGCATCAGTGGCTGCAGCTGACAGGGACAGCTAACACTAGCAGCAAAGCTAACATCAGGGCGTCATCTGTTAAAAACCTCCCGTTGTCGGATACGACATGAAACTACTCCAGTTAGCTCAATAATGTTGTAACTAAGACATCCGCTGGAAAAAATATTTTCTTCACGGATGAGCACACGTTTGATAAAACGGAGTTAAATCTCTCTGCATCCATTTTCAAGCTCTCTGTGTTTTTGTTTCCTTGCGGACGAGAAAACGGGGAGCGCACATTTCCGAGAAGGCGTGTCCTTTTCAAAAATGCAAGAGGCGTTGCTTTGTTGCCGGCCGTTTTCGCCAGTGTGTTAAACACACTTTAGAAAGGAGTGTCCCCAGACTATCAGAAGGCGGAGATCTCTGATTGTCTGGTGGCGAGACTATGAATCTCCTGAATGCAAGACATAAGAGGGATGTAAAATGAGGGGCACTGCATGTATTGTACTGCACTTTATGTCTGCACTTGTCTGTGCTATGCACTTACAACTGTTTCTGCACTATGTATGTATTTTATATAGACAAGTTTCCCAAGGGACAAATAACGTATTCTTGAATCGTGATACTATGTTATATCCTGGTGTTGTATTTAAGTGTGCATTAAAATATTGTGAGTGGAACAGATGTCGTGTCACCAGGCTCTTCATGTACGGCGAAGAGCCTGGTTTCCATTCACTCTGAATTTTGTCTGGATTCTGGTTCCGGTCTAGAGAGCGGATCCGGAATCCACCAAATTCACCAAAGTAAAAGTGTTCATCAAAGTAAAACTTTAAATTCTGGCACACCATCGATTTGGGGTGATGAGGGGTGTGAGAAAATCGATTAACTTAATGGTTTGGGGCTTTTCTTGTAAATTATATTCTTTAAATTAAAAAGTTTCATCACATTTTCATTAGCTTGGTGCTTTTATTTTGATGGAAAGGCACATCCATCGAATTCCGGATCCTGTCTCTCTCATCCTGGTTCCGGTTGCTTACCAAAACGGCCACTAAACAGCCCCAGACTAGATATTTACTGAAGAAAGGGAAGATACTGGCTGTGATTGGAAGTTCCTTTCACATGACATGCAGCGCATACTGCAGCGTTCCAAAAAGTTGGACTTGCTTACCTCAAGGCGCTTGTTGCAATGGTGTCACTCTGGCTTTTGAGCACACCTGCCGCCCATCTGTATTTAAAAACCATAGACTTGAGGGAGCAAAAAATGCAGCATGTTTACAGGCCCTTTAAAAAGTCTTAAAAGCCTTAACATATAACTTGCCTTAAGCTGTTGGAACCTTGAAAATACATAAACAGATTGTCTTTTTTTTTTTTTTTCCTCTTTTACACCGTCAATACCCTTATGCAACTCCTCACTTTGAGCGGAGCAGATATCTCAAAAAATCAGTCGTGTCCAATAAGTAAGGGATAATCCCGATAAAACCAATAATGAACACCTTGAGGGGCATTATCCCACGTATACTTTGGTCACTTACCAAAGAAATAAAAAGTAAGAATATTCATTCATATTTTTTTACTTTTTGCATTCAAAATCTAAAGTTTTTCACAAGCCATAACTCTGTTTCTTTGGTAACACCTGAGGGTTTACCAAAATCATGGGACAATCATTGCCACCCCGCCTGTGAGGTTATTATGCAATGGAAACGTTATTCACTACTCCAGTAAAAGGGACGAACCTTAGATATGACCCAGCAACGGGAGATATTCTAGTCTTCCCAGCTCATAGAACCCTTTGACCCAGATATTAACCAGAAAGCTAACGTTATGCTAGCAAGATTCAAAGTCAATAACATTGCATACAGGTGACAGTAAATATAATTTGAGAGTATGGTGAACAAGAAGACTGGCTAGCCAACCAGCCATGTCATTGTCCCCAAACCAATATCAAGATTTTAAAGAGTAACTAAACCCTAAAACCATTTTTTCAGCTGATAATCATTGTTTCTGGTTGTATAGTAGTGTTACTGACTGATCCTGCTCAAAATCTTGACAGTTTAGTGCAAACTGTTGAAAATCTACATTTTATTTTAAAAATGTGCTATGGAATGCCCTCTACAGCTTGAAACCTGGTTACTACATTTGAATTTACATTACTTTACATTGGAGGGGAATGATTCTTTTTCGAGGCGAATGACGTCACTAACCGTCCATGCTAAAGCCTGCCCTCCTCCCTTTACTCCTGGGGGGGGGTTGTATGTGTGGAGCCGCGAGGGAGGGAGGGGTGGATGGATGCGGTGGCCTGCTGCTCTGAGCCCAGGCTCACAGAGAGGGAGAAGTAGAACCGGCCGCTTTGCCTTCTGCCTGTGTGACACAGTTAGGGGCAGTTTTCCAAGCCACCATCGGCACATGAATATAAGTTCCACTGTCGGCAGGGTGAAAAAAAGTGTAAGTGTAGAGATGGGGAGAAGGGTGAACAGGGGGAAAGAGGCCAAGCTGCAGCCGCCTTCCCTTCTGCCCATGTGACACAGTTAGGGGCGGTTTTCCAAGCCACCATCGGCACAATGAAAATAAGTCGAAGTGTGGAGCGGAGGAGAGGGACCTCTCTCCCCGCAGCGAGGGACAATCTTAACTCCGCCCCCTTCCTCAACTGCTCGCCTGCAAACCCCCCCCCACCCCCCCTCAGCTCCGCCTATCTTTTCTGAACTTTTTGAAATCAAGCTGTGGGCAGAGTAATGCCCAGAGAGGGGGGTGTAGTTCCCTTTTAATGAACAAACGATATGTTCAATTCAATTCAGTTTTATTTATAAAGCCCAATATCACAAATCACAAGTTGCCTCACAGGGCTTTACAGCATACGACATCCCTCTATCCTTTGGTCCCTCACAGCAGATAAGGAAAAACTCCCCAACAAAACCCTTTAATGGGGAAAAAATGGTAGAAACCTCAGGAAGAGCAACTGAGGAGGGATCCCTCTTCCAGGACAGACAGACGTGCAACAGATGTCGTGTGTATTGAACAGATTAATGTAATAAATGTACAGTCATCCATATGACAAAATGATATATTGAGAAAAAGTCCGACCGAGAGAGAGAGGGAGAGACAGAGAGACGCAGGGCAGACAGTAATGACAAAAGCTACAATAAAATTAATTTACAATAATAATAATAATAAAAATAATAGTATTTTGGTAGTATATATGTTATATGTATATACTAATATATGATAATATAAGTATGTTACAATAATAATCATATGTGTATAATAACAGTAGAAGTATCACTAATAATGAGGCATCAGGCAGGACCACACCAGCAGCACAACCATAAACCACGATCCAGGCACAGCCGTGATTCAAGGGAACCTGCAAGACAGTGGAGCACAAAGGCTCCGGAGAAGAAGCTGAGATATTGACATGCAGTAGGACATGAATGTTAACAAATGAAGAAGAACCAACTTTTCAGAATATGACAATAAGAGAGACAAAAGGAGAGAAGGTGCTCAGGTGCTCTGACTAAGTCTACATCAGCATAACTAGGGGCTGCCAAAAAGTAAAGTTTTATGTCTAGTCTTAAATGTGAAGATGGTGTCTGCCTCCCACGCTGAAACAAGAAGATGGTTCCACATAAGAGGAGCCTGATAGCCCAAGGCTCTGGCTCCCATTTTACTTTTGGAGAATTTAGGAACCACAAGTAACCCTGCGTTCTTGAAGAGCAGGGATTTGTAACAACGATCTTTGAAAGAAAGGGAAGATTAGATATTGGTCTAATCTAAATATATATCAGGTGTTACAGCTGTGTTTGAGGACAGATAGGTACTGTCTGAGGACAAGATGTCATGAATTTTGCCTCTAATAGTTAGAATTTTGTCATTAAAGAAACACGTAAAGTCATTACTGCTGAGGGCTACAGGAATACAAGGCTCAATAGAGCTGGCTACAGTACCAGGGAGAAAAAACTAGGATTATTATTTTCTTCTATTAATGCTGAGTAATAGTTTCGCTCTGGCATTGTGGAAGGCCCTCCTATACATTTTAAGACTGTCTTGTCAGACTAAACAAGATTCTTCCAGATTGGTTACACACCAATTCCTTTCAAATTTTTTGCGATATTGTTTTAATTTACAGTTTACAGTTATACCACAGAGCTATCTTTCTGCGTTTCATTAACTTCTTTTTAAGAGGTGCTACAGAGTCGAGTGTTGTTCGCAGCTAGCCTGCAGCACTATCAACAAGATATTCAATTTGGGAGGGCTTAAAGTTAGTATAGGACACCTTTGTTACATTTGTCGGCTGCAGCCTGAAATAGCGACTTGGATATGCAATGATTACATTAGTTCAGAGGGGCAGTGTAGTACGTGCAGGGTGTGTTCCAGTCTCCCTTCTGTGTTGTTCAGAAGATGAGGCACTGAAGGACTACTCTCAGTGTTGTAAATTAATTATAAACAGATTTCAAACACTGGTATTATTTTTAGGGATAGACCGATATGGATTTTTTTAAGGCCGATGCCGATACCGATTTTTTTCCATCACCCTTAGCCGATGACCTATTATGGACTGCCGATTTTCTTGAGCCGATATTTGGGGCCGATACTGCTTTTGCTCCCTCAATTTACATAAAAAAAATGACACAATGATAACAAATATTACAGGTCTCAAGTTTAAAATAAGAAACATTTATTGAACAGTAAAAAATACTAAAACAAGATGGAAAGTTGAGGTAGAACAGGTAGAATATTATTATTATTATTATACATTCAAATAAAAAAAAGAGTTCAGTGCTCTTAAATCTTCCAGTAATGTCTTTATAAAATAAACAAATATTAAAGCTGAAGCATAAATAAAACAACAACTACTGTACACAGTAGGATTCGCTGCATGTGCGCTGCAGGATCTTCCGGCAACACAGAGCTGCCCGTGAATGCCTGTCTGTAAATCATGCCAGGGAAAAATAAATCCGTGAACCCACACGCGTATCGGCCGATGCCGATACAAGTAAAAAACTAAAATATTGGCCCAATAGATCGGCCGGCCGATGTATCGGTCTATCCTTAATTATTTTGTCGCCGGCGAATTACGGTTTACTTTCTAGAACACACCGAGATATGTGAAGGACACACTTACACACTCACACACGTACAGAGATTCCTTGCTTTATAGTTAGATGCTTCAACTAGTGATGTGAGAGACTATTTATTGATTATTTGTTGATCACCCAGCCCTTTTGCACTTTGTGGTGCTGCACATACATGAATCAAAACAGCATTACCAGTTTGTGCTGGTCGTTGCACGTAAATGGTAAATTGACTTAAATTTGTAAAGCGCCTCTGTAGTCTTTTGACCACTCAAAGCTCTTTTACACTATTTGTCACATTCACTCATTTCAGCACACATTTACATTGGTGGCTGAGGCTTCCATACAAGGTGCCATCTGCTCCTCAATTAACTATTCACACGCACTAGCACACAAATTTAGTGTATCTTGCCCAAAGATTCTTTGACATGCAGATGGAAGGAGCTCTACCTCCTTAGCCACAGCTGCTCCTAATGCATACAGTTCCCTGCTATCTAATCATCCTGGCAATGTTGGTAAAAGATTTCAATAACCCATGAAATGTTTTTTGTTCAAAAAATAAATGTATGTTTGTCCACAGAGTGAGGAAGAAGATGAGTCATGCTTCTGTGGAGGGGCAGCTGTCCTGCTGTTCTTTCTGTCAGGACGTCCTGAAGGATCCAGTCTCTACCAACTGTGGACACTGGTTCTGCAGACAGTGCATCACCTCATACTGGGACCAGTCTGCTTCATCAGGAGATTGCTCCTGTCCCCATTGTGGAAAAAAACCCAGAACAAGAGCTGGACTGCAGACAGCCAGTCAGACTAGCACTGTACAAAGTAAGACTGTACATCTGTCTACTGATGTCATCGTGTCTGAAAACAGAACTTCAGTCACGTGTTGTGCACCATGACAAATTAAATTTTGGTACATTTAAAAAAAAATTAAGCCCCCAATTTTCATTCTTTTTTTGTTATTGTTTGGGTACTGAAAATTAACACTGATAATAATTTGACCTTCATTTTACTATCTTACAGTGGATGGTGGTCTGCAGGAGGTTTTAGATGAGCATAAGATCAGTCTGAAAAAGAGATGTGAATGTGTGACTGAAGGAACTGATGAAACAGGAAGTGGAACCCTCCTCAACAGGATCTACACTGAGCTCTACATCACAGAGGGACAGAGTGAAGAGGTTAATACCCAACATGAGGTTTGGCAGCTTGAGACAGCTTCCAAGATGAAGACCCCCCATGACACTCCGATCAAGTGTCACAACATCTTTAAAGCCTTACCTGACCAACAAGGACACATCAGAGTTGTTCTGACAAATGGCTTTGCTGGTGTTGGAAAAACCTTCACAGTGCAGAAGTTCACTCTGGACTGGGCCGAGGGTTTGGAAAACCAAGATATCAGTCTGGTGATTCTGCTTTCGTTCAGGGAACTGAACTTGATCAAAGATGAGCAGTACAGTCTTCTCAAGCTGCTCCATGTTTTCCATCCAACACTACAGAAGGTCACAGCAGAGGAGCTTGCTGTCTGTAAAGTTCTGTTCATCTTTGACGGTCTGGATGAAAGCAGACTTTCATTGGATTTCCACAACAGTGAGTTTGTGTCTGATGTCACACAGAAGTCATCAATCAATGTGCTGTTGACAAACCTCATCAAGGGGAATCTGCTTCCTTCGGCTCTCGTCTGGATAACTTCCAGACCTGCAGCAGCCAATCAGATCCCTCATGCATGTGTTGACAGGGTAACAGAAGTACGAGGCTTCACTGACACCCAGAAGGAGGAGTACATCAGGAGGAGAGTCAGTGATGAAGAGCGGTCCAGCATAATCATCTCACACATCAAGACATCCAGGAGCCTCCATACCATGTGTCTAATCCCAGTCTTCTGCTGGATCACTGCTACAGTTCTGGATCACATGTTGACCACAGAGCAAAGAGGAGAGCTGCCAAAGACCCTGACTGACCTGTACTCACACTTCCTGCTGGTTCAGACAAAGAGGAAGAAGCAGAAGTATGATGAGGGATATGAGACGAGTCCACAGGAGCTGACAGAGGCTGACATGGACGTTCTTCTGAAGCTAGGGAGGCTGGCATTTGAACAGCTAGAGGAAGGAAACATCATGTTCTACCAAGAGGACCTGGAGCAGTGTGGTCTTGATGTCACAGAGGCCTTGGTGTACTCAGGAATTTGTACAGAGATCTTCAAAAGAGAGAGTGTGATCTTTCAGAAAACAGTCTACTGCTTTGTTCATCTGAGTGTTCAGGAGTTTCTGGCTGCAGTCTACATGTTCCACTGTTACACCAACAGGAAGATAAAGGTACTGGAGGACTTCCTGGGGACAGACCTGGACTGTGGTAACAGTGATTCATCCCAGCTTGCAGATGAGGAGGAGGAGGGTGCTAATGTTGATTTAACCAATAATGACAGCAACAATGTCAGGGAAAATGACCACTACCTATCCGTGGAGATGATGGAGGAGGAGGAGGAGGAGGATGGGGGGGGGGATGGGGAGGAGGAGGAGGAGGAGGAGGAAGAGGAAGAGGAGGAGGGTGCTGATGTTGATGTAACCAATAATGACAGCAACAATGTCAGGGAAAATGACCATTACCTATCCGTGGAGGTGATGGAGGAGGATGAGGAGGAGGAGGATGAGGAGGAGGAGGAGGAGGAGGAGGAGGATGAGGAGGAGGAGGAGGAGGATGATGATGAGGAGGAGGATCAGGAGGATGAGGATGAGGATGAGGATGATGATTCATCCCATGGTGACAACAATGACCGTAACCTACGCCTGGATGTCTTCCTGAAGAGCGCAATGGAGAAATCCCTTGAAAGTAAAAATGGTCACCTGGACCTGTTTGTTCGCTTTCTTCATGGCCTCTCTCTGGAGTCCAACCAGAGACTGTTAGGAGGTCTGCTGGGTCAGACAGACAACAGTCCAGAAATCATTCGGAAAGCCATCAACAACCTAAAGAAAACACACATGTACGATATCTCTCCTGACAAAATCATAAACATCTTCCACTGTCTGATGGAGATGAATGACTACTCAGTACATCAGGAGGTCCAAGAGTTCCTGAAGTCAGAGAACAGATCAAAGAAGAGACTCTCTGAGATCCACTGCTCAGCTCTGGCCTACATGCTGCAGATGTCAGAGGAGGTTCTGGATGAGTTGGACCTGATGAAGTACAAAACATCAAATCAGGGACGACAGAGACTGATTCCAGCTGTGAGGAACTGCAGAAAAGCTCGGTTAGTGTTGATATAGTCCAGCAGGGTATATCGAGATGTACATGTTGGCACAACCATAAAGAAAAACCACAGTTTATTACAACTTGCTTTTGGAGCAACATCGTCCTAAACCCATAGTGGCCCCATACCAGTGGTAATTGCCGATGAGCTGTGCCAGGCATGTAGCAATGGCTCTTTTACACAGTTTCTCACAATATCTGTTTGTGTACGCAATCTAGAGGTGAGTATAATAGCTTTACTGCTAAATGGTAGAGCCCTCCATGGGCTGATAGTGGTGCTGGATCTGGAAATACAGATATACAGTCAGTGAGACTGGCAGAGCAGTCTGACACCACTTGCATACTTATTAGCAGGACTGGTGGATTTGCCAACCATTGTGGGATGGCTATCGCCAGAATTATCATGCATAATTTCCTGAAAATGTAAATACTTTTACTTACAGTTAATTTGGCTTTGTTTCTGTATATGTCCTTCCCGAGAGCCTGCGGGGTCAGTGCCACTCCCTGATTAGAGTACATATCACAGGGCATTTAAACACGAGGACATAATAGGCGTACAAGCAAAAAGCATTTTCTCAGTAAACACTGTGAATGATCACAGTACAGCACTCCCATTTTCTTTTTTTCACACTGTCCAAACATAAGACACCTCAATTGAATCTTTAGAGGCCACCAATTTTGGTGGTGTAACTCCTATTATCCTGTACAACACAGATTCATGGCACAGATCATCAAAACAACAAAGTCCCCTTCTTATATTTACAACTACAGATTGTGTTACCTTTAGGGCTGCTCCCTTATAGTCGACCAAACTTTAGTCGAACAGAATGATCATTAGTTGGCAAGATTTAATTGGTCACTTAGTTGCAGAAAAAACAAAAAAAACAAACGTGAAACTCTATTAGGAGCTGCACCTTGATAAAATAAAATCAAAACTTTTATGACTGGACCATGTGGGAATTTAATTTGAAAGGACAGGCAAAGGAAGAGGCCACGCTCAGCAGTCAGACAGGAGTCACATTACAAACCAGTCACAGCTGACAAATATCTTTCCCTTCTTCCGTAAATACTCAGTCTGATAAATATGGAAAGGTTGATCATTTTAGTGCAGGGCTACCCAGAGCTTTACACCTGTCCCACTGACAATAGGCCTACACACTCAGAAAGAGCACCTGAAAGAAGATCAGCTCTGCACTCAGGATTTCAGGTAAATAGGCCATATGGTACTTGTTAAGGTTGCTTAGCAACCTCAGATGCAACCTCAGACGCAACCCACTGCTGCACTCTTGAAAGCTGGCAAAAAAAAGGCACAAGAGTAGTGCCCAACACCTGACTTTGCGTTTTCCAGGTAGTTAAAGAAGCAGCATGTGTACAGCCTCTAATTTACAAGGCTGGTACCTGCAGTTATTCCAAGTTAATAACATGTCGGGCAGGAAATCCAAGGTGTGGGATCATTTTGAGAAGGTGAAGGACAAACCCAAGGTGATATGTAAACTCTGCAGGCAAACATTTGTTGACTACAAACATGACTGATCATCTGAAACATGTAAGTGGCTACATGTCCATTAGCCACTTAGCACAACCATTACTGCTTTGCCAACAGTGTTGGGGGTCGTTACTCAAAAAAGTAAGGTATTACACATTACACATTACTTGGGGAAAAAAGTAATCCCTTACTTTACTTGATTACTCCCTGGAGAAAGTAATTAGTTACAATACATGTTACATTACTAGTTACTCTGTAAAATTGCCTGAAACACATTGTAATTTGCCAGTTAACGATATAGCATTAAACCTTACATATGTATAACAATCCTAAGGTAGATACCATTAAATAGATGGATATACCCCGAGTCGGCTTCACGAGGGGGCACCAGGGGGCAGTGCCCCCCCACTTCATTCACCATGCCCCCTCACTTGTATAAAAGCATATGTTTTCTCCCATCAGTGTAACTGTAGCGATGACTGAAATCCATTATGCTATTAGGCTGTTGCATGAGGTGTCAGGCCAGAGCTTCTTGTTCATTGCACAGCTGTTCCACAAGGTAGGCCCCTAAGCAGACTTCCCTTTTTCTCTCCTTAAGTATTTGCAGGGTTTCCGCCAGAGAAGTTCTTATGCCAGGTGGGGGGTGGTTACCGTGTGTAAAGGGGTTGTGATAATAATACTTGCCCACTGCCCTACAGTCACTTAGTTCATTTTTGCATATCAGCAGCACGTTTATCAAACTTAAAAAAAATTGAATTTGTAAAATACTAAGTGTGTTATCAATACTTAGCAGAACAACGAACGTTACAGTTATAAACTGAAAGTGTGTGCTCCGTTATACCACAGAGTAGCAGAGTGAGACGTCTGTCCTCGCTCCTGCTATCTGCTATAAACACATGAAGCTGCTCCTATGTCTCCCCGGGTCTCGGTGCTTGTTTGCGGCAGAAACTCTCCCATCCTCTGGCTCGTCCCCTCGTCAGGACGACCCATTGGCAACAGCCTGAAGCCCGTCATCATTAACTCTTAAGTAAGGGGAAGATCTAATGAGGAATTTATGTAACGCAAGTAATGACTTAAGTGTTTGATTAGTAACTGTAATGTGATTACTGCATTTTGGGACAGTAGTGCCTTACTTGTTACTGAAAAAGCCATTTTTTGCGGTAACGCGTTACTTTGTAACTTTGTAAGGCGTTACACCCAACACTGTTTGCCAACACCATAATTAACAGGCGGCTCGCTCAGTGTGTGACGTGCAATTGTAGATAAGATATAGGCCTATATTAATATAGGTTCATTAGTACGGTTTTGTATTTCTCCATAATGTAGCACAGTGTTAACAATGTTAGTTACACTGTTCTTTCTCAGACCTTGAATTCAAACCATTGTGTTGCCCTGCCCAAAATGTATAATTTAATAATAAAATGAATATAGTAAACACGCGGGCGACTCGTCGACTAATGGCCCTACATGACAACTATTGATCGACAAGAAAAATTCTTAGTTGGGGGCAGCCCTGGTTACCTTTGCTGTTTTTGTTGTCAAAACTTGTGTCTGAATGCATAAAACCGCTAGCCCACAGCCCCAATACCTCTTTCAGTCTAATCCAGTCGGTAAACACCGTCCCTACAGAGCTTACATGGGCAGAGGACAGGAATGAAGTCCACTGACATTGCTTGAAAAGATGCAGAGATCAGCCTTTTATTTTGTGGTCTGTGTCTTCATCTGCTGGTTGATCTGTGGTAACATGTCTGACATTGATATACTGTGCTGTTGACGTCTTTAAATATTCACTCTGTCCATTTATTATGGGTTTCTATGAATAATAACATGTATAGAGGCCTGATTGATTGATTTTTTTTTTAATGAAGCCAAAACTGAAGTTTTTAGATTTGATACTTATAATGTAAGTGACATCAGATGAGGTTGAAATTTATCTTGGAGCTAAAGAGGGTACACAAATGTCAGAAAAGTCCAAATTTAAGATTTCACCTAAACCTCTCAAATTGTTGTGCTTCACCTTTCTCCTATTTGTCCATGCACAGGTAATGTTCAGATGTTGTTATATGGTTTACCAGAGAGTTTGGGCTCCATCTGCATAATTTCAAAAGGACATTCACTGTAAAAGTATGAAGTTTTATTAGGTGCGGATATCATTTATTCTGGTATTTCTTAATCTGACCCAGTAGCATCTATATGTTTACACCTCTGCAGTAAATCTCCCAAATGTTACCTTATTGTGAGACCAAAATTAGTCATAGATCCTGTGGTTGCAGAGAGACACTCTTAATTTTGGGCATGTAATGTTCGAGCAGAGGCCTAAGCCAGGAGCCCAGTGAATAAATAGCAGTTCCAATTCAGTTCCAGTACAGTAATGTTATACAATTAAGTATCAAAGATGTCTCAGTTCTGTTTTGAAAATCTCTGGTTTTGACTTTGTATCTGTATTTGTAGACTTTCTGGCTGTGAGCTGTCAGCCATACATTGTGACATTGTGGCCTCAGCTTTAAAGTCCAACCCCTCCCACCTAAGAGAGCTTGACCTGAAAAACAATTATCTGGAGAATTCAGGAGTGGAGCTTCTGTCTGATGGACTGGACAGTCCACACTGTAGACTGGAGACTCTGAGGTCAGTTGACTTTTTGTTGTACTTTAGTTTATATTAATATGGAAAAGATTTCTTTTTTGTTTTTATGTGAGCAGCAAGTTTTCTCTAAAACATGTCCGATAAAATATTTGTCTTGTAATTACAGACTTAATAGCTGTGAAATAACAGCAGGTGGCTGTGTTTCTTTGGCCTCAGCTCTGAAGTCCAACCCCTCCCATCTGAGAGAGCTGGACCTCAGTAACAACAAGCTGCAGGATTCAGGAGTGAAGACGCTGTGTGATTTTCTGGCGAGTCCACACTGTAAACTGGAGACTCTAAGGTAGAAAATTCATATTTCATCTGAATGCTAGCAGTTCTCAGAATCCATCTTTCTGTACAGAGTAAACATTACTGCTTCAAACCTGTCCATTGTTACTCCAGTACATTTCAACCTTTGTGTTTCCAATAAATATGGCCATTTTAACTTTATGGATCATGCTAACTTTGCACTCCATGCCTCAGTTGTAGAAATGTTGGGAAACTAGGACTCATGTACAATTTGTACCAAGTTCACCCCTTAGTAAACACAAAAAAGAAACTGCCTGAAACAGCCATTATGGCAAACTGCAGAGGGACCCATAGAATCACAATGACCACATTTTTCGGAAATATTTGTCTCATATTCAGATTGAGGGGCTGCAGTTTGTCAGAGATCGGCTGTGCTCCTCTGGCTTCAGCTCTGAAGTCCAACCCCTCCCATCTGAGAGAGCTAGAACTGAGTAGGAACAAGCTGCAAGATTCAGGAGTGAAGCTGCTGTGTGATTTTCTGGAGAGTCCACACTGCAGACTGGAGTCGTTGAGGTCAGTTCATTGTGATTTCACAGGATGCTCTATTTTTGAAGAACAGAGGCTTAAAATTCCTTCTTGTTCACAGATTATTTAATACATTTCACCTTTTATTTATTTGTTTATTGTAATTGCAGGCTTCAAAGGTGTGAGCTATCAGAGACTGGCTGTGCTTCTCTGGCCTCAGCTCTGAAGTCCAACCCCTCCCATCTGAGAGAGCTGCAGCTGAGTGACAACAACCTGCAGGATTCAGGAGTGAAGCTGCTGTGTGATTTTCTGGAGAATCCTCATTGTAGACTGAAGACTCTGAGGTTAAACAAATCTATATATCTATTCGAATATTCTATTAAAATATTATTTATTCAGTTTTTCCCACAGAGTTAGAATTTATTTGTGATGAGTTGGGGTGGGGGGGTTGGGAGCAGCAACAGCTGATCGGCGACAATCAGCTCCAGCACTGAAGGACCGTCCCTGTGAGCTGCTCTTCCCCCTGCTCTCTCTGCCTGGTTAGCACGAGCTAACACAGCACAATGTGATCTCATCAATACTCACCATGCTGCTTGGGCAGAAGCTGCGCTGTAGTGGATAACATACGAAACTGAGTTGTTAATCTGAAATTGCCCAACTAACGTTCTTCAACCTGTACCATTTGGTAAAGTTAGGGGTATGATGCTAACAGTTAGCCCTGTCACTGTATGTGTGACTGTCAAAACCACAGAGCTCTGGTTCCACAGCATTAGTCTCATGATAAGCAGAGAGGGGCTGAGTGAATCAAGACCCTGCACACAGCTCTACAATAAAACAAGATTTTACCCGTTTTATTAGTGAGATTTGTGGTAAAGTTGCAGTAATTGTATAAAATTGCAAGGTTGCATAGAATACATAGTTAATGGCTGAATTAGCTTCAATTGTTTGATTGTGACATCCCAAAAGGGATGACAGACTCAACACCACTAATTCCAACTAATCCACTTATGGCTCAGTGAAACTTATTCTGCAACAATCAGCTTTATAGGAAAATTCCAGTACATTTCAACCTGTGTGTTTCAAATAAATGTGACATTTTCAACTTTACGTGTCACTTTGCTGTCGCCGCATCCAATGTAAAGATTTTGGGAAACATGACTCGGGTAAAACAGTGTGTGCCTCTGCTCAAGCCTCGCACAGCTTTCCAAATTAAGGTGGTTTTTACATTTAGCACTTAAAAGGCTTGTCTTTCAGTTCAATCCAAAGTAAACAAAAAAAGCTCCCTGAAAAAGCCATTACGGCTGTGTGCAAAGGGACCCATAGAATCACAATGACCATTTTTGAGAAATACACAAGGTTTAAAAGCATCCATCCATCCATCCATCCATTTTCTAACCACTTATCCTCTTGAGGGTCGCGGGGGGGCTGGAGCCTATCCCAGCTGACGTTGGGCGAGAGGCAGGGTACACCCTGGACAGGTCGCCAGACTATCACAGGGCTGACATGTAGAGACAGACAACCATTCACTCTCTCATTCACACCTATGGACAATTTAGAGTTACCAATTAACCTGCATGTCTTTGGATTGTGGGAGGAAGCTGGAGTACCCAGAGAAAACCCACACTGACACAGGGAGAACATGCAAACTCCGCACAGAAGGGCTCCTGCACCCGGGATTGGACCAGATTTCTTTTTTTTTTAATGTGAGCAGCAAGTTTTCTCTGAAATATGTCTGATAAGATATTTATCTTGTAATTACAGACTTAATAGCTGTGAAATAACAGCGGGTGGCTGTGTTTCTTTGGCCTCAGCTCTGAAGTCCAACCCCTCCCACCTGAGAGAGCTGGAACTCAGTAACAACAAGCTGCAGGATTCAGGAGTGAAGACGCTGTGTGATTTTCTGGAGAGTCCACACTGTAAACTGGAGACTCTGAGGTCAGCTCATTGTCATCTCTCTCCTTTAGATGCTCTGTTTTTAAAGAACAGAGGCTTAATATCTTTGTTGTGCACTTTCTTGTGTACATAGTGTGTATCCTGATTTGTTAGTTAACCAAGAAAAATATTAAGAAGATGAGAAAAAGATAAATAAATGATAAAAGGCACATAGACCATTAGAAAAACAACCTTTAGTCAGTCAGCATTTTCTATCAAAGTTGTGGGGAAGTGGAACTCCCTTCCCCCTGATATAAAAGATACAGGTAGCTGTATTGTATTTAAAAAAAATGCCTCAAGCTCTGGCTAAAATCTGCACAAACATGTATGCACTAGTTAATATTTTGCACATGTAGTATTTATGATCCCACTCAGGGTATAGATTTTGTTGTTGTTTCATACTTTGTAATTATTATAAAATCTTAGTAAGCTGAAAATATACTATATAGGTTTATTAGGCTGAAATTGCACTTTACAAAACTGGCACAAACTCAGGATTGCACTTTTTTATTTCTCTTCCTTTCTCTACAACAATGAATCTGTCCATATTTTTTCTTTGAAGTGAATTTTATCCATATCCATGATTGATGTGGATGGAGTTCATTTTGGAGAGAAAGTATGGATAGATTGTCCATAGTAGATGGATAATCCATCTGCTGTGGACATTTTGTCCTCCTGTTTATCTGTTGTTGTTGTTGTTGTTGTTGTTGTTGTTGTGCTGTTTTAGAAGTATTTCTTTTTTATTCTATCTTGCATTCTCATGTTTTATTCTGTCAAGTGTACTGTCATGTTTTATATTTAGTCCTGTATTGTCATGTTTTTATTTTGTTTTTTTATCTGTCTGCCCAGGGACTACAGATGTGAATTAGCTGATAGCTAAATCTGGTGCAATTTTGCTGATTGTGCGATGTCCCTGTCAAATAAACAATAAACTAAACTAAACTATACAGGTACACAAAATTAGTATCACGGAATATTAGTAGACAATTTACACAAGGAATCCATAAGAATAATATTAGGAAGATAAAATACAACCTTCAACATCTTGATGGGCAGTCGCATGGGTAGTCCATTTAGTAACATTGGGGAAATAAAGTCAAATCCATCAGCATAACAAAAGGGAGCTAAGATCAAACATTGATAGCTAAATGGGCAGTTTACACAGTTAATCAGTAAGGATAACATTAGGGAGCTAAAAACAAACCTTTAACAGTTTTATGAAATTGTGCAGGTGCTAATTTTAAGATATAAGATGGCAAAGCATTCCATATCACTGAACCTCTACATGTTTGATAGATAGAAGGCCAGAGTTTATCATTATTTCGAGTAGAATAATTGTGAGAGTGATTGACAAACACTGATGATGCCTGACTGGAGAAACAATGATATATATATATATACAGTACAGGCCAAAAGTTTGGACACACCTTCTCATTCAATGCGTTTTCTTTATTTTCATGACTATTTCCATTGTAGATTCTCACTGAAGGCATCAAAACTATGAATGAACACATGTGGAGTTATGTACTTAACAAAAAAAGGTGAAATAACTGAAAACATGTTTTATATTCTAGTTTCTTCAAAATAGCCACCCTTTGCTCTGATTACTGCTTTGCACACTCTTGGCATTCTCTCCATGAGCTTCAAGAGGTAGTCACCTGAAATGGTTT